GCCTAACTCCTGTGGAATGGTTCTCTTTTTCTTTGGAATGTACCATTCCCACCCATAAAGAAGGACTGTGGTGTGGCAATGTTGAGATCTCTTTCAGATCTACTCCTCAGAGCAAAACTTCCTCCAATTCTGAGGAGGCAGAGAAGAGAGTGGTGCCCATGCTTGCTCTTCCCATTCCCTCCTGTTTATTCTTGGTGATGTCTACAGTGGCTGCAAATGTGAGGACGAGTGGCGCGTGGCTCTGGAGCCAGGGTCAGTGAATTATCTCCACGACTTGCTCTTTTCCTGCTTCCTTCCTTTTGGAGAAAAACAAGCTGGCCTAGACCTCAGAGTTCTGTAGGCGTCCCAACTTGGGTCATCTGAGGACTGATCTGAGATGTCCAGTTAAGTAACCCAGAGAAGCTAGCCAAGCAGCCATGACCCCTTGAGAGAGGATGCCCCAGCCCTTTTGATGGGGCAACAGCTCCACTAGTGGGGCCAGGTACCAAGAGCTATCCTCACTCCAGCCAGGCTCCTGGGGTGATAAAGGGCATGCAGAAGAAATCTGGGTGTGGGGAGGCAGAGCTTGCTCAGGCTGTGTATGTGCTGTGCATGTGCTATGTGTCAGCATGAGGTCAAATCTTCCGTCCTGGGTGGGGATGCTGCGGGCCAGGGGGATACTCACAGCTAATGAGGAGAAACATGAGGCACAGATGAACCAGATCAGCCAAGGGTTTCTTCCAATCCTGAGATTCTGTGAGTCTGACTTTGTGATTTAAGCCTCTACTTGTCCCCTGTCAATTGAACTTGAGAGGGATGGAGAGAAAGGACACTGTCATGGTAATCAAAAAGTCAGCAAGGAAAACCCAGGAGCACAGATGGAACAATAAGAACACAGGAGGAGGGGATTATTTCCAGGGATATCAAACAAGAGGGAAGCAAGAAAGAGGTCAGGGACACCAGAAGGAAGGTTCCCTTTTACTGATTGGCAGAGATTATGTTGCTCACTTGTAACCTTTTGGACATTGTGTTCACAAGGGCAGTGAAAGTCTTAAAACGCCCTTGGGTTGAACTCAGAATAATGAGTTCAGAGGCAGAGGGGGAAAGGCTCAATGGGGAGATTACACAGGACTCTACAGAGGGTGTGGAAGGAGAGGAACCCTAGAAAAACCACAGATGATTGGCTGGAGGCCAAAGTAGCCAAGCCCAGTCCCCCTTTGGGAGAAGCAGCTTGGTCTAGACAAGGATTCCTGGGGCTAAATTTTCAAATGTCCTGTGTTCTTCTTCAAGGTTGTTTTCTGGAAGATACAACATAGATTAATTGAGTGGGTGAGGAATATGAAAAGAAACTTTACAAGGATGAAAAGCTGGGCCCGTCCTTGCACAGACCTTGTCATGAAGGGCACACCCTAGGATTGTGCAGTGTACAGTTTATATAGCTGAACACAGCAACCCCACCCTGACAGGTGTCAGTATGGGGAAGAGAACGTGGGGCTCTAACCCGAGTCAGAGTACTACTAACCTACAAGCAAAGTGCAAGTCAGTTCACAGCTCTGAGCCTCAGTTTTCTCATCTGTAAGATGGGAATAATTGCTCTGTATTAGGTACCTGAAGTGATCTATGAATTCACTCCTGTAGCACCTGACTTATGGGAGATACACAATAATATCTATCCCCTCCCACCCCCTATTTCGTGAGAAAGAATGTGGAAATGAGCAGTGAATCTGGACTTTAGCCAGAGTAGGCAGGCTAGGGTCATCTGCGAAAACAAAAAAAAATCTGCAGTACTGTTTACCACACAGGAAGTGCGAATGGTGGCCTTTCTTCTTTGACTCCCCAGATTGAGTGAGACTTGGATTGGTTCTTCATGAGATGGCCTATCTCTGGCCAATGTTTAAACGAGCCAGATGCTTTGTATGCTTTCTCCCTCCTTTCTGGTCTTCTTTGTCAGCTCCTTTTTCATTCTGTTCATCCAGCACACTGTTTATCAAGTATACTCTGTATCTGGAGCCCCCTGCTGAGCTCCATAGTGACCCAGGGATGCCCCACACATGATCTGTGCTCCTGCGAAACTCACGGCCCACGGGTGGGGTCAGGTCAGGGGTCCTGGGTGTGAGTCACAGGTCTATTGAGAACCAGCTGTGTGACTAAGCTTCTCATAGTTGACTTGTTCTCAACTCTGAAGTAGGGATTATGATGGTGCCTACCTTATAGAATTTCCTGAGAGTTAAATAAAAGAATTTGCATGCAGCATTAGCTCAGTATCTGAACACATCAAATACTTGGTGAATGCCAAATGTTAGTTTTATTAAATTTTTTGGGTCTTAGATAAAAAGCAAGGCAGAATACGGGTAAGGCCCTGGTAGGGCTGGAGAGGTCCAGAGGAGGCAGAGATGTCAGCTGGTGGAAGGTTAGAGAGGTTCCTGGAGAGGTCATTCAGGCTGGATGCCAAGGTACAGACAAAACATCAATGGGCTTTCTTGGGTAGAGAGTGTACGAAGAGTGAGGAATGGTATATAACAAATGCACAGAGATGATGCCACACCCCAAGAGGTCAACTTAGTTTCAAGCACCCAGACTCACAAGGCTACCAGAGGCACAGTTAGCATCCATCTCCTCCAAGGATATGGGCAGCCAGCCAGCAAGGTGACATCAGGCATTCCTCACAACCTCCACATAGCCATCAGCCACTGTCTGCTCCTCAGGGGCCAGCCAAAGGCAGGGAGACAAGCTCCCCATCCTGGATGTGGGTCAAGCTTGTTTTCGAATCTCCAAGTCCCACCGAATCCCTGTGTCCACTAGCAGTCCCAAGTGTCCTGCAAGGTCATGCACATTACCAGAGTCACCACACTCAGAGAAGCCCAAAGCATGGTGCTCTCATCAGGTGTTCATGGTTCTTCCAAGTCCAGATGTTATTTACCTCCCAGCGTTCATTTGGCCATAGCTATGTCGCCTAGCAACACAGTTGATGTTCTACAGTTGTCAAGTTTCCGGGGGAATAGGTTGGAGAGTGTAACTCAAGGGTCAGTTTACCTTGTAACATGAGACAAGGTTTGGTGAGTGCTTTTAGTTGGAAGTACCTCAGGGCATGTTCAGACCATACTCTTTAGTGCAATTTAGGGGCATTGAGGAGGAGGATGTGTGCAGGAGATGCAGGGATGAGGCTTGGAGGAAGATATTGGGAATGGGAGGGAAGGTTTGAAGGAGAGGAAACTTCTGGTTAGTCAAGGGCTTCCCTTGCCCAGGATCCACATGACCTCAACTAATGACATGCCTGCCTGTGTGTTCATTAATGCCACAGTGACTTGCCCAAGTTCACACATCTGAAAAATAGGGGAAATCAATGTTCAAACCCAGGTCTGTCAGGCTCCAAAGATTGCTGTGAGTTCTTGGGAAGCAACCTCAGATCTCTGTACTTAGGCTCCTCTTACTTCCTTGGTGGCTCAGATGGTAAAGCGTCTGCCTACAATGCGGGAGACCTGGGTTCGATCCCTAGGTCAGAAAGATCCCCTGGAGAAGAAAATGGCAACCCACTCCAGTATTCTTGCCTGGAAAATCCCTTGGACAGACTAGCCTGGTGGGATATGGTCCATGGGGTCACAAAGAGTTGGACATGACTGAACAACTTCACTTTTCCCTGAAATGGGAAGAATGGTTTTGAGGATGTGATGAGTCAAGCTATAAGGTGCTTAGAAGAAGGCCTGGCACACAGCAGGTGCTTAATGAAGATTAGTTGTTACTATACTGTCTCCCAAACTATGGCGCTAGCCCATGGGCAGGCCACTGGAGAGTTTAAAGTGTACTTCTAAAAGGCTCCTTCAAAATAGGGGGAAATGGATACATAATGGTATACCCCTGAAGTGGAATACTAGGCAGTTGTTGGAAACACTGTAAAAAAAGTGAAGTTGTTCAGTCATGTGCGACTCTTTGCAACCCCATAGACCATAGCCTATCACGCTCCTCCATCCATGGGATTTTCCAGGCAAGAGTACTGGAGTGGGTTGCCATTTCCTTCTCCAGAGGATCTTTCCAACCCAGGGATCGAACCCGGGTCTCCCTCATTGTAGGCAGATGCTTTACCGTCTGAGCCATCAAATATCTTAAATAAAAAAGGCATGTCTTGGAAGGGTATTTATCATATACCGCACTCACATAAGGCAGCTCTGGATGAGTAGATGAGGCTAGAAAAACCTACAAAGTTGGTCTCTCCCGCCTCGTCTCCGGCCACTGCCCCATCTAGTGGCAGCTCTTGGGACACACCACACTTTTTCCTCCGCTAGACACTGCTTGCTGCTCCCTCTGCCTTAAAGTGCTCTCCCTTACTCTTCACACGGTCAGCTCCAGTATTGTCCTTCAGTGTGACCTTGAATGTCCTCTCCAACAAGAGTCCTTCCTGGGTCCCTCTTTCTCAGCAGGGTCTCCCTGTTAAGTCTCTCTCCCAGCACTTCATTTATTTCCTTGTTAGTACTTACTACTGTCTGCAGTCATTTTACTCTGTTGACTTGTTTATTATCACTCTTCCCCCCCTAGAGTGAATGGGAAGGACTGTTTATCTCATTCCCCTGAGACATCTAGTCAGTGCTCTGCACATAGTATGTCCTCAATTAAAGAAAAAAGTGCCCCATGATTTAGGGGTGGAATTGAGGTGATTTTGAGGTGTATCGAACAACAAGATGGAATTCTCTTTCTAATGAAAACTTTGATGCTGAAAGAAACCTCTTTTTGGCTGCAGTGGAGATAGGTTGGTGGCAGGTACCAGATGGAAGTAAGTTGACCAGTTTGGGGTCGCTGTGCTCACCCAGCGGCAATAAAGCATGGCTTGAACTTAGAGCAGTGGCTTTGGGGCTGGAGAGAGGACTGAGCCCAGAGATGTGTAGGACTGTGACTGGCTGGGACGGAAGGGCTGCAGGAGGAGGGAGGGATGCTCCCTGCACCTTCCCGGGCAGCCTCCTCTCTTCCCTGATGGCCTGGTCTGGTGATGCTGGGTTCCTGAGTGGCCTGGCCTTCTGTTGCTATTTCAGATCCAAAAGACCGGGAGTTTGGACAAGGTGGTGTCCTGGACTCACCAGTTCCCTTATGCCCACCAACTCTGGCTTGGACAATTTCTTGGCTTCCTGAACATTTATGATCCTGACTATGCCAAAGCTGTATACAGTCGAGAAGGTGAGGACTCCTGGGAGAATTTGGAGCTTCCTGAGAGCAGAGGGCTCAGGATGCCATGTGGGGAGGGGTCCTGGACCTGAACCCTAAGTCTGGGCAGGTGAGGTCCCTACCCTATAAATCACCAAACATCCTCCAGGAATCCCCCAGTCCCCATTTGACCAAGCTTCTCTTTCTGTTATAGACCCTAAGGCCCCAGATGTGTATGACTTCTTCCTCCAGTGGATTGGTGAGTAGGCACTTGCCCTCCCTGTCCTTGGTGCTGGGTGACCAGGAGCCTTCCCTGCCTGATCCCTCCTTGCCCAGTGTCCACTCTTATGGTTACTCCATCCACCAGACCACCTGGCCCCAGGTTGCCACCCTAAGCTCAGCTTCTCAGTAGGAAATAGCGGAGGAGGCAGGAGAACTCCGGGCTGCCTGAGAGGTGGAGCTCAGGCACCTTGTCCTGCCAGGGTGTCCTCTTTCCTGGGCAGGCAGGGCAAAGGCTCTGGGCAATGTTTTAGTGTGAGGAACAGCTTCCTGGAGGAGGTGGCACTACAGGTGATCGGAGGAGATTTTACTGGTGGTGCTGGCTGGGGCAAGGGCCTGTGGAAAGGAGTGTGGAAAGACAGGACCCAGGCTGATGTCACCAGAGACTGTGAGGCTGGGTGACTGAAAGGCAGACCTGGGTTTGGATGCCAGGCTGATCAGGAGGATGGGAGTAGGGTTAGGCGGGGTGGCATGTGCTTGATCCCAGGTTGCCAGGGGTGGGGCAGGATTGTGTGAACTGACTAGCCGTCCCTCTCCCATGCCTTCCCCAGGGAAAGGCTTGCTGGTTCTCCAAGGGCCTAAGTGGTTCCAGCATCGCAAGCTGCTCACACCTGGCTTCCACTATGATGTGCTGAGGCCCTACGTGGCTGTGTTCGCCGAGTCCGCACATGTCATGCTGGTGAGCTCCCTGTGCCAGGATCCTGGAGGCTGTGCTGCAGGGCCAGCCCCCCGCCCCCAGTTTCTCCTGGGAGAGGGCAGTGAGGGGAATTGCTGAGGCCCGAGGCCCTGTTCTGCCTGCAGCAGCAGTGTGAGCCTTGCTCTGCCTGATATCTACTGCCGGCTGTGTGCGGACAACGTGCAGACGCCCCAAGCCGCCTGACAGCCCCGGCTTTTGTCTCCACCGGGAGACCAGCACTCCCTCTTCCCACATCAAATGGCCTCTGTGAGACCCCAAGAAAGCTCCTACTGTAGCAGACTGGAGGGCTGCCTGTATTTGAGAATATTAGGAAGACCTTTCATATCTAAAATGTGTCTCCTCATCCTCGGCCTAGCACAACTGCCTGAAATAATGTCGAGAGTAACTCTGAAATGGATGCTGGGGGTCAGGGGTCAGGAGTTAGGCTCAGAGCCTCACAGCTGGATAATCCGCGAGATGACCTGGGCTAGCCTTTCTGCTTGCAAGAGACTACCCCCTCCCGACCCCCCAGCATTACTGCAGGCCTGACGCACACAGACTGTGCTGGGGAGCTTACCACCTCTTGGCCCTCCTCTTCCCTCATACACAACTGCCCTGGCTGTGTGTGCTGGGTGAGGCTGTCTGTGCGTTCTGCCCTCTGAGCCTGAACCACCCCCACTCCCCACTCTTAAGAGTAGGATGGAGGCCAAGCCAGGGACATGGAGTCTGTGTGGGGAGGACAGTGGTGGGTCCTCCAGGCAGGGTGGGACACCCAGCCTGGCGGGCTCCCTCCCCACATCACCTTCCATCTCTGGGCTCTAGGACAAATGGGAGAAAAAGGCTCGTGAGCAAAAGAGCTTTGACATCTTCTGTGATGTGGGCCACATGGCGCTAGACTCGCTTATGAAATGCACCTTTGGCAAAGGAACCAGCGGCCTGAACAACAGGTCAGGGGGCCCTGGGGGCTGACCACAGTCTCTACCTGGGTCGACTCAGAGGGTGTATGAGGTGACAGGACTCCTGGGCCCTGGTCTGAGAGGAGGGGCGGGGGGTCCTGCTCTAGGGAGCCCCAGCTCAGGTGGAGCTGGGCCTTTCCCATGGCTTTCATGGGAGGCTTGATGGGGCTTCATGGGAGGTGGGGAGAGGACGGGCAGAGAGTGCAGTGCTTGGAACTGGATTCCACTCGCTCGGGGGCTCTGCTGCGGGTCAGGGTTTCAGCATCTCTCCCTCCCTCCACTGTGCAGGCACAGTAACTACTACCTGGCGGTCAGTGAACTCACACTGCTGATGCAGCAGCGCATCGATTCCTTCCAGTACCACAATGACTTCATCTACTTTCTCACTCCACATGGCCGCCGCTTCCTGCGGGCCTGCCAGGTGGCCCATGACCACACAGGTGGGCCTTTCCTGCACCGCCCGCCCACAGGAGGCCTAGGTTCTGGTCTAGCTCCTCCCGGCCCCTGGGGGACCCCTCCCATTGCAAGACCTCTGTTCCCCTGTTGGGCAGAGGGTGGGTTCCCAGGCAGTGACACCCTGTGCTCCCGGCCCAGACCAGGTCATCAGGGAACGGAAAGCAGCTCTCCAGAACGAGAAAGAGCGGGAGAAGATACAGAGCAAGAGGCACCTAGACTTCCTGGACATTCTCTTGGGGGCCCGGGTGAGTGTGCAGTCACCCACACTTGCCTAAGAAAGTGTCTCTGACATGGGTCTTCAGGCTGTCCTCCTGGGACAGGGCTCCCTAGACAGCAGCAGGGGCTGTTAAGCATCTTTTCCCTCTTTCCCCAGCAAATATGACCTGTTTCTTGTCCTGTGGTGCTGGGCTGTGCTCTGTCACTCAGCTGTGTCCAACTCTTTGCAACCCCATGGACTGTAGCCTGCCAGGCTCCTCTGTCCATGGGGGATTCTCCAGGCAACAATACTAGAGTGGGTTGCCATGCCCTCCTCCAGGGGATCTTCCCAACCCAGGACTTGGACCCAGATCTCCAGCATTGCAGGTGGATTCTTTATTGTCTGAGCCACCAGGGAAGCCCAAGAATACTGGAGTGGGTAGCCTATCCTTTCTCCAGGGGATATTCCTGACCCAGGAATCGAACTGGAGTCTCCTGCATTGCAGGCAGATTCTTTACCAGTTGAGCTACCTGGGAAGCCCTTGTCCCATGGTATATATCAGCAAAGGCTCAGAGGTGGGAAGGTGACTGGTGTGGTGCTGGGGAGAGATGTAGTGGCAGGGAGACTGGGTCTACATGAAACAGAAGACCAATTCCAGCCTTTGAAGACTCTGAAGAATCTTAGCAACCTAGAACCTTGGACTTTATACATTACTCATTCATTCATTCGAGGTGGTCATGGCAACCCACTTCAGTACCCTTGCCTGGAGAATCTCATGGACAGAGGAGCCTGGGTGGGGCTAGAGTCCATAGGGTCGCACAGAGTCAGACATGACTGAAGTGACTGAGCACCTGCAGCAACATTTATTTATTCACTCATTCAGTTGGTCCTTTCATTCCATAAGCTCACTGAGCCCTATTCTGCATTAGTTCTCATGCTAGGGACGCAGACACTGAGAAAGCCCTAGCCCTGGCCTCCTGACTCTCACAGGTGGCAGGGACAGGAGGTAGATGTTGACAAAGACCTCTTCCTCCTCCAGAAGGCATTGTGTGTGTCAGGTGAGCCAAATTGATAGGACTGGGTAAGGTCACAAGTCATTTTGGCCAGAGGGATCAAAGAAGGCTTCCTGGAGTAGGAGTCATCCAAGCTGGCCTTGGGAGAACAGATAGGAATCAAGAGGATGGTCCAAACCCCTAGTCTGAAAAGGAATTTCCCTCCCTCTCCCAGACCTTCATTTGACAGCTACTCTTGTGAGGCCTTGTTGGAACTACCTCACATGCCTTGGGCTGTCCCATTGTGCTTTCCTGACCCAGGATGAAGAAGGCATCAAGCTGTCAGACGAAGACCTCCGGGCCGAGGTGAACACATTCATGTTCGCAGGCCATGACACCATCACCAGTGCCATCTCATGGGTTCTCTACTGCCTGTCCCTGTATCCCGAGCACCAGCATCGTTGTCGGGAAGAGATTCAAGAGATTCTTGGGGACCGGGACTCCTTGAAGTGGTGAGTGAGGCTGTGGGTGAGCCCAGTCTGTCCGAGGGAAGAGCTGCACCTACAGGGCCATCCTGGAAACCAGGCGAGGGCAGTTAGCCCTTGTCATCTTCCCCTCCAGATTTTGGCTTTTGCGGGGAAGCTATGCATGGACACAGCCCCGAGCCCTTTCTCTCACCGCAGACCATTTTCAGATGTGTCTTGTAAAGGTGGTCAAGAGGCTGACTTTTAGGTTGGCTCCCTCTGGTGGCAGAACCTGACGACCCTTCTGGGTTCCTAGATAGATCAGGGAGCACTGGAAAGGATTTGAAAACTGAGGATGAACGGAGCTGGGGTAGCAGGAAGAGCTGATTCCCTCTCACCTGCTTTTGGGTGGCCATGTGCAGCCTCTAGACTCCTCTGATGAAAGAGAAAAGGCTGTTGCCCAAACTTCATCACTTAGAAACTTATAACTATTTTGTTTTTTCGTTCAAGCTTGAGCTCATTATCATGACGCTGATTGATGCTGACCTCTCTCTGGAGAATGATCTTTGGCAATTTTGACTGGCTCCCCTCCTGCCTGTGCCCTCTGCCCCACCTCTCTCTGCCTCTTCCCCTTGGGCTTTCGAGTCCTGTGTTACCTGCAGCCCAGGGATAGGACACAACAGGGGCCACAGAAAATGCTCAGTCGAGGGGAGAAATTTTAGACTCACTGAGGGAGACTGACTTAGAGTTCCAGGATCTGGGATTTGAAGGATGTGGTTTTACTGGTCAGAGGTTGGAAGCGTCCTAGGGTGTCCAGCCAGGTGCCAGATGCTGTTAGGAGTGTGGGGGATGAGGGTGAGTGGCCAATACTGCCCTGGGTGAGTTTTTAGAAGGACAAACTTGCAGAACCAAAAAGCTAGAGAAAACCACAGAGTGGGGTAAGATTGAGCGGCCCCATGTTCAGAACAGAGGAGTCAAAAGGGGTGGGCCCAAGTTGGCTTTCTAAAGAGATGTGTGAAGCTCAGAAAGGCCAAGGGCGAGAGTTAGGTGATAGGGGTGCTCTGTGTTGGGGAACAGTGTGAACACAGCCTGGAGGGAGGAAGTTGAAACATTTATTTAATTTTCATTTTATTCCATCTCAATCTTGAAGCAACTTAAAGGGCACACTTAATTAAATGTAGAACACAAATGAAAAATGAGGACTGGGGGAATAAACCCTAGAATTTGGGGCTCTGTAGTAAGCTTTTGCACAGTCGTTATAGCTGGAGCATATTTGAGGTCTGAACTTCCTAGTAGCAAGATAGAAATATCTATCCATCTGTCTATTTATCTATCTATCTATCTATATGTAGTTACTCACCCCCTCCAAGCTCGTTATTGTTTGGCATTTATTACTTCATTTGGCCAATGTATGTCAGCCCCTACCCCTTTCCATTCCAGCTCCATGGGGAATGAAGCAGAACCTAAAGAACTGTCCCTTGTGGGGTTTCTGTGGGACACTGAAAGAGTGACCTTGCCTTTGATGTCCAGGTGCACATACACCCCTAGGATCCTGTGCTTTCCCTTCCTAGCAGGGAAGATGAGGGAGGGATGGAGAAAAGTGGAGCCAGGCCCCTGCACCTGAGCATCCACTCCACGTCTGGCCTGGACACTTGGAACACTTGTGTCCCTCTGACTCCCTGATGTGTGATGGCGGTGAAGTGGGGATTCTGGCTGGGCCTGCCTTCCTGCAGGACTGTGCTGCTCCCCAGTCCACAAAGGCCTGCTTGTGTTGCTGGCAGGGACGATCTGGCGGAGATGACCTACCTGACCATGTGCATCAAGGAGAGCTTCCGCCTGTACCCGCCTGTGCCCCAGGTGTACCGCCAGCTCAGCAAGCCTGTTGACTTTGTGGATGGTCGCTCTCTTCCTGCAGGTGGGATGGGGCAGATTTCGGGGTGGAACCAGAGTCCTTTTGGGTGCTCTCTCTACCCATGTACCAGAGGGGAGGAGACCAGGCTTTGTGCTTGGCCAGCATCAAAGTCCTAGCTCCACAATGTGTGGGTAATTCCACTAACCTCTCCACCTCTGCTCTATCTCCTATGAACTGGGGGTGAGAAGGGTCCCTGCCATACAGGGCTGTTGTCAGGATTAAAGAGACAGTATTCATCAGGGCTGTCATGTACCACCAAGCAGATTGTGCCCTGAACAGCTTCAGGAGGCATCATTCTCTTAGACTATAATGCTGTGCAATGTACAAGCTGAAAAACTATGTGTGGTAGCTTTGTAAGGAGTGTTTGACTCTGGATCTGACATATAATAAGCACCCAATGAATGGTAGTTGTTACTACTAATGGCATAATATTATGAATAACTATTTCCCTTGAGAGTCAGTTAATAGAAAGTAGAAAGTGGGTAATAATCCTTGCCTGTCCTTCCTCGTGGTGGGGTAGATTCAGTCCTCTTTTCCTTTTCTGTTCTACAAACGTCTGTGTCAGGTGCTATACCTGGTGCTGGGGCTATAGGAAGTAGGTGTGCTGTTGACCAACACACTTTGATGTGTTGAGGATGGTTATGAACTTTCTGTCACTGGCAGTGCTGAGGGAGGGACTGGTGCTTAGTTAGGGGCACCAGTTAGGGGATTCTGACTCTGTAAGGAGGTGGGCCTGGCTGTTTCAGGACTGTCTGGTCACCAGGCTTCTGCTCTGCCTACAGGCAGCCTGATTTCTCTGCACATCTATGCCCTCCATAGGAATAATACAGTGTGGCCTGACCCTGAGGTATGCCGTCCCTGGGCTCGGGGTTTGGGCGGGGGGGGTGTGTGCTTCTGTGGGGTCAGCCTGCCCTGGGACTTGGCAGATATTCAAGCAAGCCTGGTCCCCTCAGGTCTTCGACCCCTTGCGCTTTTCTCCTGAGAATGTGGCCGGACGCCACAGCTTTGCCTTCATTCCCTTCTCTGCTGGGCCCAGGTAAGGAGAGCCCAATGTCCCTGTCCAGAAGTGAGGATGGAGGATGTCATGGAACATCCTTTGGGGGAACTCTGGGATGAGGATGGCCATGCTGGGTGTGTGGTGACCCTGATGTGAGGGAAGTTCAAGGGACCCTCTTCCTGCCATTAGCATACTTGTGTCTTTGGCAGGTGGGGTGGGTGAGTCATTCCAAGAGAGACCCCTAAGTCACAACCCACAGTGTGAACCTATCTAGTCTGGGACCCTCACTATGCCCCCAAGATCTGCTTCTGAAGCCCAGGCCAATCAATTGATCAGCCAGTGATACATCCATAGTGACTGATTTCTGTTGGACACTTAGAGCGCTAATTTTCATCACTCTGGGCATCTCATAGCCTGATGTCATTTTGTGCTGCTCATTGCAGGAACTGCATTGGCCAGCACTTTGCTATGAACGAGGTAAAGGTGGTCATAGCCCTCTGCTTGCTCCGTTTTGAGTTTGCCCCGGATCCCTCGAGGCTACCCATCCAGATGCCCCAACTGGTCCTACGCTCCAAGAATGGCATCCACCTCCACCTGAAGCCGCTGGGCCCGGGCTCTGAGAAGTAGCTCTGCTGAGATGAGGACCCCAGAGAGCCCAATCTTTGGCCTCTTCCTGGATGCTGCCCTCTCCGAGCTGGTTGTAGAGTAGTTGTGTTCCTCTGTAGGCTTGCGGACTAGAAGCAGAATAGCATCTGATAGACAATCACCTCAAAGGCAATGCCATGTAAACATGTATGTCTATAAATGCTTACTGCACATGTGTTCCAGAGCTCACCCATTCATTTAACAAACATGCTGAATACCTACTTGCTTCTAGATTCTTTTTTTTTTAATTTTTTTTAATTTTTTATTTTTTATTTCCTTTTTTAAAAATTTATTTATTTATTTATTATTATTTTTTTATTATATGAGGAGTGGATGAGTGTCTGATCATAACCACCAGTCCCAAGGCACAGATTCCATGTGAATGCTGTGTAAATTTTAGAAAGATGGACAATTATGGGAGATCAATTGACCCTTCTGAGATGGGTCTCTGGTGCACTCCTGCCATCGTCAGCATCTGTATCACTGTTGCCTGGTGCCCTGGGCATGTCAGTTTTGGCTGGGGAAGGTGGCAGAGTGACATTAAAGGGTGACTTCCTGGAAGAGATGGTGCTTGAATCAGGCTTTAAGGCAGGGTGAGGTATGAGGGTGCAAAGAGGGACTTTTGGAGAAGGACTCAGGCTGGGGCCACATGGGGAATTAGTGCTCTTCCCAAAGTAGTCCCTGCCTGATGGCTGGGGGCATATACACCTCTAGGGTTCAAGTCTAAAGCCATTAGTGGGCTTCAGTCCAGGAACTGGACAGGTGTGGAAGGAAGGGAACTGGGCTTTAGGGGAGAGGCAAGAGAAGGGGAATTCTGGCCCTGGGACTTGAGGATGTCTTTATATTGCCCTGGGGATAGACCATCTGGAGACACATCCTTCCTGCTGCTGATGAAGAAGGTCTGAGAAGGAGGTCACAGCCTTGGGAGTCAGGCCATGGGCCTCATGCTCACTCCTACAAAGCCTTGTCAAGACTCAGATCTCCTTGCTCACCTGAGGCTGGGATGCTGAGGCCTCACCAGAGTGTCTCCCATGCCACCCATTTTCCCCTCTGTCCTGGCCCTGGACAGAACTTTCCTTGCACGAGTGAAGAAATGGTTTCAGTAGGCATCCCCGGGAAGCAGAGCTCAGCGTACCATCCATCTCTGACCCATGGGTGGAACTCAAGTCTAAGATGCATCTACTCCTCTGATCCCTGGATTTTCATGAGGCCACTCAGGCAGGACTGGAAGAAGCTGTTATCCTACTTAAACACTAAGGGAAAGAACCTGACTCTGCCCTCTTTTGACTAAGACTCTATGGGTAGAATTGCATCTCTCTCTGAGGGCACATGCCCCTGAGAGCTTTGGAGTCAGAGGGAATGGGGAAGGTCCCTGTGAGAGGGGAGCTGGGGGACCAGTGGGCACCAAAGCTGAATTCCACTTAATCCTACCAGCTCTCCAAAGAGATCCTGCTGCCTCATAGGATCCAGGGTTTGTGCACATATGTGTGAGCAGAGTGTGGAATGTGTAAGGGGCACATATAGCTTGAGGTTGCACAGGGATGTCTGTGTATGTACAACCCCAGTTGATACATGTATATGACATGTACAACCCCAGTTGTATCCATACTCCTGGAAGATGCACATAGGAGTATGGATGCAACTGGGGTCTTTCCTACTGCCTGGAACAAGCTGGGTCTCTTCTTAGTCATTCTCTTCAGCTCCTGTAAAATCCTGTGATTACAACTCATGTTCATGGCTGGCCACATAGGAGAAAAAGTTCCTGTCACCCCATGCTCTGAGAGTGACAAGCCTGACCCCTTCTGTGCCACTTTGCTTCAGGGGACCCGTCAAACTTCCTGTCTAGGGCATACCCAGCTAACTCTACTGCTCCATTACTGGTCAAACACAGTGTGTAACTGGCCACTTTTTTTTTTTTCCATTCAACAAGAATCTTTAACTTTATTAATGTTAGAAACAGTACAAACTTCAAAGTCAGCTGAAGTTACTCTTTTGAAGCATCAAAAAAGGTCCTTTTTTTCAGATGGTTATTGTTAATTCCATAATAGCACTTACCATATCATTACTGTTGTTCTTCAGGGTTCAGACTGCCTTTGTTCTTGACACATTTGCTTGTGACACGACCAATTCTATGTCCTTAACTTCCACACCTGTTTCATCAACCTCTTCCTCTTCGCTCTCCTCTTATACAGTTAGAATCTGTGTGTTTTCCTGAATTTTGGAAACAGCTTCACTTTGAACATTGAATTTCTCAGCAGCTGCTAATTGTGCTTGCTGAGATAAATCCTCGATCTTGGCTTTCCTCAAAACTATCTAAGTATTCAAAGCTGGCTCTTGTACACATCTGGTTTCTTGATGACAAAAAGGATATTCTTAGATGTCTGGATAGTCACTCTAGTAACCCCTGTACCTGGTGAAGACCTAGTTTGGACATAGCCTTCCATGCCTTCTTTTCACTCCAGCTCTGTTTTGCTTTCCTGACTGGTTCTTCATCAGTTTCAGCTGCTGCTGCCAGCTGGGCTTGTGTGGTTGCTTGCGTAGAATCCTGTTTCTCAGGCTCTGGTTTCTGTTCCAGACCTTGTCTAAGCCTGGGACTGTGGCAACTCCTGCTCTGGGGCAGGGACGTTTTCTGTGGCTTCACCGGGTGTTTTGTATGGGGAGTGCAGAACCAAGATGGCCATAGAAAGAGAGCAAGCGAGAGTGTGATCCAACCCTGTTGAAGAAGGAAGCCTTCCCCTGGTCACTTCTAGAAGCAGAATGAGCTAGCCTGGAGACCTAGGAACCTGGAGATGGGGAGAAGATTACTGGTCTGAAGGTCCCGGCTACAGGCACTGGCTGGGGAGAGGCCCCATCAGGAGGCACATGGCAACATCACAGCACAGCACAGTGCTGCTGGGAGGTCTCCTCTGGCACCAGGGCCCTGGTTTAGGAAGGGCAGGGGTGGGAGGGAGGAGGACCTGTGTGCAGAACCAGAAGAGAGCAGGGCTGGGTGCAGAGAGGCTGGAGGAGGAGTTCAAGGGGCCTGGTTCTGGTCAGTGCCCAGGGTCAGGAGGACAGGCCCCAACATGGTCTCCAGGAATGGCAGGGTTGAAGAAGCCTGTCCTCACTCAGAGTGGCCAGGCCGCATGCCAGGGACTCCAAGGTGCTATCCTGTGGGGGGATGTGCCACCAGCTGTCCTGGATGTGGGTCTGACATCTGCTCCCAACAGCCAAGCCTTGTGCCCAGCTGGTTCCTCCCAGGCCTTCCAATTTAGCCACCCACTCTTGTCCTCAGAGGAGTCAGGCCCTGCCTGTGAGGAAGGGGACTGATGACCTGGCCAGGCTGGGCTCTGTTCAAATCTCTTCTGGGGTGAAGGAGACCCTTGTACTGGCCAAGTCTGTAAAGTCTTCCCTACTCAGCACAGGGTGGGTGCTGGCTGGGCCCCTCTACAGATGTGGTGAAGAAGCCACCACGGAAGAGCAGGAGGCTCCTGCCCTGGCAGGTGCTGGTGTGAGCGCCTTCCCTCTGAGCCTTTGGAGATGAGCCCTTTCTCCTGACTCAGCTGTCACGCGGGCCTCAGATACCAGGCAGGGTGTGGGGCATGAGTGACCCCAGAGTGTGAGGCTGCAGGGGGGCCAGGCACACTTTCCCCAGATGTCATCTCCCCTCCTCTTCTCCACTGTCTTCCCTCCCCTCCTCTCTCTTCTGTTTCATCCAGCTCCTTTCAGAGAAGACACACACAGTCAATATCCAGGGAGGGAAAGAGAGGGGAAGCCACGTGACTGACACACAGGAAGACCCATCACACATGGGAGAGAGCGGGGGACAGGCCGATGGTGGTCACAGGACTTAGCAGGTCCAGCAATGGCTGCCCAGGTGTCCTCGTCCTATCCCCAGATCAGGAGAACAAGCCTGTCTTATCTGAGTTGTTCATCTAATCACAAAGGTCCTGATGAAAGAGAAGGCGATGTGAAGACAGAAGCAAAGGGACGTTTGAAGATGTTGCTGGATTCATGTAGGGAGGAGGGCCCAGGAGCCAAGGAATGCAAAGATTGTAGCTTTAGATGCAGAAAAGGCAAGGAGCAGTATCCTGTCCTAGATCCCTGGAGAGGGGCCCCACCAACATGTTATTTTGTCCAGGGAAACCCCTTTCAGGCTTCTCACTCCAGAGCCATCAGAGAATAACTTTGTGTTGTTCTAAGTCCCTAAGGCAGTGGCAAATTATTTTATCAGCAAAAGGAAGTGAATACAGGTACAGACGGGCAGGCAGAAGGGGAGAAACACAGGAAAGACTAGACAGACTGGAGGAGAGCAGGCAATCAGGATACAGGTGGACAGTGGGTCAGATACAGAGGGTCAGAGACAGATGGAGAGATGAGCAGATAGGGAGCCTCCAGAAAGGTGAGAGGAGGACAGAAAGTCAGCTGGGCAGGAGGCAGAAGATGAGGCACACTGGTGGCAGGCAGATCAAAGCAGGAAGTGGGCAAAGAGACAAGGACAGGAGAGAGTGACAGCAAGACAGGATGGCAGGCCGAGGCCCTCTGAGATTGCCCTTGTTCCTACAGGGATTAGAGGAGCTTCCTGAGCTGCAAGTTGATCCCATTTTTAAACTTCAACACAAGTCTTTGAATGAACATGGGCCCTGGAGGGATCTGGTGACAGCTCAAAGTGAAGCAAGTCAGGACCTTCATCTCATTGATGGCAAACTGCTTTCCAGGGCAGTTCCTGGGCTAGCAGGGTAAATGAAATGAGAAGTGGTCTCAAACCCTGTTCTGAGCTAGGTAGGCATTGGCCACTGACCAGAAACAGGGCATTCAGGGCTGTCCTCCACGTGGCCCAGCCCTGATCCCTTTCTTACTGGCTACACTGAACTCGCCACCCAAGCCTTGGTCCACACTCCCGTGTGACCTTTGACAATACCTACATCTCTGAGGACTCCTAACTCCTACTTCTGGTCTCAGCAGCAGGGAATCCTGTTGGAGAGGATCAGCACATTAGGTCT